CAATTATCACTAAATACTGAAAGCACTTTCCCCACCATAACTACAGAATATATGCAGCACATTTAGGCGATGGTTCAAAATAAGAAGAAATCAGTGAATAAAAAGAGGGATGTGAGGAAAGTATGGATGAGAGAGAGAGAGAGAGAGAGAGAGAGAGAGATTTTGTGGGGGAGGGGGGTAGGAATATAAACAAAGTGATTTTGTATGAGGGACCCTGTATGGTGGATTCTTGTCCTAGAGTAAAGTAACTGGTTGTTTGAGAGGAAGATGGTGTAGGACAGGTCACAAGGTCCAGACATGTCAAGGATGGTCTGTGTGGGTGATAATGGGGTTTGTGAAAGGGAATTTGTGAGGAGAGTTTTGAGTGTGATTTAGCTGGCTATGACTGAAGGAAAACTGTTTGTGGTAGACTTTCTAGAAAATGGTCTAGGTGTTAGAGCCAGCTTTGCTTAAGGTATTAATTTGCTAACTTACCAGAATTTTTGCTTTTCAATTCTGTGATTTATTTCTTTTGAAAGCGTCTCAGATTTGTGTAACTCTCTCCTTTAGCTTTTTTGTCAGCTCCTGTGACTTGTTTCTTCTCTGGTTCTGACTGCTGTTATGGCCTGATACTAAAGTGTTTTGCCTCGGAGGTCTACAGGAACACTGTTTCCCCCCAGTATAACTTGATTTGATGCTCTTGGTTTTTCTTGATATATAAACTTTTTAGCTTTTAATATTTGACTCCCATATTGCTTAAAATAGTTTTAAGCCACCTCCACTCCTCTCTGGCCTAAAATATTTAATTGGCTATAAGTCTTTTGACTTGTAAGTTCCCTGGCCAAAGGAAATCCTACAGAAACCTAAAAAACTAATTCAGGCCATGATGGGAAATAGTGAGTTGGACATACTTCACTATGCCACCCCTGCTCTTGGAATTTAGGCCAGGTTCAAAAGGCCTTTCAAAATTATGAAAATAAAATGTTGTCCTTTCCTACAAAGAAAAAAAGAGTTCCTCTGTTTAACCAGACTTAGTCTTAGTAAAAACTTAAAAAGAAAGATCCCCTGATGATCAATTACAACCCAAAATGGAAGGACCCCTATCAGGTATTGTTAAGGACCTTCACTGCTATCAAACATTAGAGGATCACTAGCTGGGTACAGCTGTCCAGGATTAAACCTGTTTCTTATAAGTCCCTGCAGGTATAAGAGGAAGACACCATAAGTAATCCTCACAAACCTCTAGAAGACTTAAAGCTATTATTTCACAAACACACAGATAAATAATGTGATGCTGTGGGTGGGCATAGGAGCATTAAGTTTTCTCTTCCTTCTAATTATAATTTTCTTGTTTAACTTCCTAGTAAAGTTTGTATCTTCTAAAGTCAACATAAAGATGATGCTGGCACAAGGCTTCCAATTCATCTTATCTTCTGACCCAGAAAATGAAAACATCCTGCTGTTGGGCTCCTTACATCAGGTATCTGGAGATTTTTATTCCTCCCATGCTAGGCAGTGCCTATGTTTATAAAATCGGCAGGAAGCACAGAAGATAGACCTGTGCCCATCTGCAGCCCTTTAAGATTAAGGAGGAGTTTCTAATCTGAGGCGGGGCATGAGGTAGGAGACCAACAGGACTTGTTTTCTGGTGAAAACTCTGCTGAACAAAATAAGATCTAGTCCAGATGGGGCAAAGTGAAGAAACTGGCCAAAGCCAGCAGATGGCAATAAAAGCAATCTCTAGCGGAGCTCAATGCTCATTGGCATAAGACATTGCCACCAGAACCATGGCAGTAAACAAATATCATGGCAGCGACTCAAAGGTTACCACCCCTTTCCATGGCAGTGACCCAGAAGTTACCCTTTCGTAGACTCAATTTGTGTTAACTCACCCTTTAATTTGCGTGTAAATGAAAGTAGGCATAAGTGAGTATAAATACAGTTGCCAAAAGCCCATAACTTGCCAACTCTGGGTGCACTGCCTATGAGTCAGCCCTGCACTACAAGGGGCAGCACCAATCAATAAAAGACTGCTGTCTATCACCACCAGCAGGCTCTTGAATTCTTTCCTGGGTGTAGCCAAGAACCCTCCTAGGCTATGCCCCAATTCTGGGGCCGGCCTGTCCTGTATCACCCTGATAGAAACATACCTTCTCCTCCCACTTATTCAATCAAATGCTAATCTAGGTGCTACTGTGAAGGGCTTTTGCAGGATCCTGAATCAGCTGACTTCAAGGTCCAGAGATTTTTTCTCAATAAGACTAACCTCATTAGATAAGCGCTCCAAAAGGACAGGACTTTTCCTGGCAAAGGAAATTTGCAGTGTGACAGGGATAAAACATAATGGAGTTTTCCATTACTGTTTCTGATGGTGGAGGAGGCTGTGTGGCAAGGAACGTGGGTAGTCTCCAGGAGCTAAGAGTGGCTCCTAGCTGACATCAGGTAAGGTAATTCAGTCTTTAGTCCTCAGCCCCAATCACAAGTGAGTTGTGCCACAATCATGTGAGCTTAGAAACATGAACTCCTAATGAGAATGCACTCTAGCCAACACTGTGTTTTCGGTCTTTAGTTTAAATCCTGAGCAGACAAACTAGTCATAAGGTGCCCATCTTCTAACCTAAGAAATGTGAACTAACAAATGGGTGTGAAGCTGCTAAATTTGGGGTAATTTGTTACACAGCAAGAAAACAACAACGCAAGCACTAAACAGGGCAAGTCAGACGGCTTGATTTAGAAAAATGCAGTTAAGTTTATTATAAGCCTTACATCCTACTTCAAGAAATATATCTAATATCGAGGACATCCAACATTAGGAAGTCAAAGAAGGCTACTATCAGATTAGGCCGTAGTGACAAAAATCCTAAGACATTTTAGAGCTCATTAACCACAGGGAAACCAGGAAATAAATATCATAAAAATACAATGAATTCTTACCAGGAGAAAGATTTTTGATTCAGCACCTTTATTTGTGAAACCAGAGGCAGAATTAGGTAAACTTTAAGGCTCTTTCAGCAGTTTCTACAGTCCTTCTTAAGATATAGTCTTATACTTTACATAGACTTCAGAGATGCCTTAACACCAACCCAGTTTCTATAAATACTGAGAACTCACCTATCTTCTAATAAAATACCACATCAGTAAGGGAATTTTTTTTTAAGGTCCAAAGCTTTCCTTCATTTAACCAAAGGATCTTTATCACATAGCAAAATACCTAACCAAAGCAAGGTTTTCTTGCCACATAATAATTACATTCAAAGGGGTCTTTTTTAAAAATCACATTTTTAAAAACTGAAAGTATGTGTATATGTACACAGGAAGAAAGTAGCTCATGAAGTCATACACAAGGCAATAATGCTAACAACAACAAAAAAGGGAAACTGGTTCATGCTCTGAGAGCAAATGTTTACTCAACTTAAATCCTTATAAAATATTACATATTAGATATAAACGAGGCACTTAAATTACTGAACTCCTTTATTAAATTATGACCTACGGAAAAAGTGGTAGTAACAGTTTAAAAGGATTGGCTTTTGCTATAAAGACACATGCACACGTATGTTTATTGTGGCACTATTCACAATAGCAAAGACTTGCAATCAACCCAAATGTCCATCAGTGACAGACTGGATTAAGAAAATGTGGCACATATACACCATGGAATACTATGCAGCCATAAAAAAGGTAGGGACATGGATGCAGCTGGAAACCATCATTCTTAGCAAACTATCGCAAGAACAGAAAACCAAACACCGCATGTTCTCACTCATAGGTGGGAATTGAACAATGAGATCACTTGGACACAGAAAGGGGAACATCACACACCGGGGCCTATTGTGGGGAGGGGGGAGGGTGGAGGGATGGCATTGGGGGTTCTACCTGATGTAAATGATGAGTTGATGGGTGCTGATGAGTTGGTGGGTGCAGCACACCAACAGGGCACATGTATACATATGTAACAAACCTGCATGTTCTGCACATGTACCCTAGAACTTAAAGTATAATAAAAATAAATAAATAAATAAATAAATAAAGGATTGGCTTTGCACCTATACTACTTAATTTAATGTAACAGCCTGAGTAACTTATTTAAAAAAATAGAAGAATCCATTATTTTTATTCTAATTGCTTTAAAAACAACAATCAGGACAGTACTTCTTCAAAGTTACCATGTTGATGGTAACTGGAGTCTTGCTAAATAGCTAGAATGTACCTTCATATAGACGAAAATGTTGAAAACTCTGGAAGAATAAATTAGATGAAACAAAGAATTCCAAAGAAATCTAAAACTTCAATTCTCTAGAGAAATATGTTATAAGATACAGGATGGGGGAGTAGATATTAAGAGTTATGAATCACAAGAAATGGTCCTTACTGAACCATAAGAAATAAAAATGTAAATAAAAGCTTTCCTTTGTTCTCTTAATTTCCTTGAGTTTAAGATCCTTTGTAGGACAGCTCTCTGGGTGGTCTTGGAATGACCCAGTTCTCTCTCCCCGCTCATAGCTCTCAAGAATAACTGTAGCATGTGCAGGAAATGCAACATCCTGAGACAGGGAGGGACTGGTTGGAACGGCCCAGGTTCTACTCCAGTCCTCCCCTAGAAACTCCAACACTTTAGCCCAGTGAGTCTCACATCCTCAGTGTATAAAACCCAGAACAGGGTGCCTTCCAGAGGCCCTCAGCTGCAGTGCAAGTGGTGCACATGCAGTCAAGATTCCATTCACCCTGGGCAGCTTTCCTGAATCTTGAGAGACTGGCTTGCAATGAATCCTAGGCTTCTGTTGTATCTTGCTGCCTATCTGTAAGTGGTAAACTTGCTTCGTATAACTTGTATGCAAGAATGTTCTGTCTTACCAGACTCAGACAAAATGGTAACCAGTCCACAGTGAACCTGCTTCACATTCTTCAATATCCTCTAAATGAAATACCGATTAGAAAGTAATTTGACAAAAACAAAAACCTGATAAAATCAAATGAACCAGTTCTTGATTTTATAATATCCACAATGCCTTCTCTCTTACCTTGTCTATCCTATCTGGGCGGTTAGTAGCTGCCAAAATGGTCACATCCTTTAGCTGTTCAATCCCATCCATTTCTGTTAAGAGCTGAGCCAAAACACGATCAGCCACATTCCCAGCACCTAAAGAACTGATTTTGAAAATACAGTTTAAAAAATATCTTTAACCTATCTTCAAATACTATATCTATTAATTTTTAAAGGTTCTGTAGTCTATAACAAGAAAAACCATGTCTATTTTCAAATATGAAGTATGCCTTTGAGACTTTATTTACTGTATTATCATATCCCAAAACAAACTGTATTCAAATCATTTATTTTCCTCTATCATCAACCATGTTCATTTTCATTCCAAAACTAAAATATTTAAATAAATGTCAGAAATAAAAGCACTGAAAAACAAGATATAAGATTATTTAAAATAGTTCATCAAATACATAGAGAATTGTTCAATCAATGTTTATATTCTGCATGGTAAATATGTTGACAGAAATTAGGAATAAAAAACTGAGTAAGATGCAAACTCATTCCTCTCATGAAACCTAAAGTCTATGTGAAATAAAAAACTCATTACACATCCATAACAACTAGGATATTTCTGATGTTTCTTCATAAATATTAAGAATATTTTTAAAATACATCAGAAGGTAGGTAATCACCACAATCCCCATTTTTTGAGAAATAGGCAAAGAAAGCATGCTAGGTTTTTTCCTTTGATTTATGTACCAAGTTAATTACAAAGCCAGTTCTAAACACACTATCCTTTATTTTAACTTCATGTCCTTTGACCACAAAAAAATTACTAAAGTTTTTAAGAAATAAACTTGGGCCAGGTGCAGTGGCTCACGCCTGTAAACCTTTGGGAGGTCAAGGCAGGTGGGTCACTTGAGGCCAGGAGTTCAAGATCAGCCTGGCCAACATGGCCAGACCCCATCTCTACTAAAAAAAAAAAAATTAAAAAAATTAGTCAGGTGTGGTGGCATGCACATGTAATCCCAGCTATTCAGGAGGCCATGGCATGAGAATATCTTGAACCTGGGAGGTGGAGGTTGCAGTAGGCAGAGATCATGCCACTGCACTCCAGCCTGGGGAACAGAGTGAGATTCTGTCCCCACCCCTCCCCCCAAAAAGAAGTAAACTCAACAGATCCTACTAATGAACAAAACCCTGTATGACACAATCAAAATGTGCAAAACAATTCGCATTAGCAATAGCTTAGATTTCCTCCAAGACCAATTGGAATTGACAAATATGTAATAAAGAACTGAGTGGACAACTATAGAGTAACACAGCATTGTAAGTGTATTAAACATGTAAATTCAATCAGATGCACTTGGGTGGAAGAGGACATAAAGTAGAAGGAGACACACACCCAATAGCTTTGTTAGCACCTGTGACAAAGAAGGGTACCTCAGTATAATCATCATGTAATATATTTAATAATAAGGTAATCAGCACCTCTAAATGACAGTATTTAGACCTCAACATGCATTATAAGTTCAAAAATTTGACTTAGTGCATCCACAGGAGAGTAGCTGCTAACTCACACTAATCAAATGCACACGAGGTAGTCATACAAATCACAATGCTAATTTATTAATTTACATGGGTTTCTCCAGTATTTAAAATATATGGGACTAAAGAGTACTTGCAAAGTCAATGAGAACTGTTTCGGGCACTAATTCTTGCAAGCAGCTACTCTGTCAGTACACAAATTTGCTTATTTGACTGTACGTAAGAATAAACATTGAACACTATAAACAAATGGATTCTATGTCTGTATTAGACCGTTCTCACACTGCTGTAAACAACTACCTGAGACTGGGTAATTTATGAAGAGAACAGTATTAATTGATTCACAATTCCACTTAACAGCAAGCATGACCGGGAGACCTCAGGAAACTAACAATTATGGCTGAAGGAGAAGCAGCAGCAAGGACTTTCTTCACATGGCAGGAGGAAAGAGAGAGAGAGCAAGAAGGGGTAAGTGCCACACACTTTTAAATCATCAGATCTCATAAGATCTCACTCACTATCACGAGAACTGCAAGGCGGAAATCTGCCTCCATGATCCAATCACCTCCCACCATGAGGATCTTCTTAGATCCTCCAACATACAGGGATTACAATTTGATGTGAGATCTGGGTGGAGACGCAGAGCCAAACACTATCAACACCCTTCAAAAGATTCTCCATAATATAACTTTTCCACATGAGAGTTTAACTGTCAAGTAGAAACACAGTTGGCAAAAGCTTTAGGAGGTCTTTCATAATTACTACAAGCATAGTAAATATTTCAGGCTGCCAATAAATTACATCAGAGGCCTTTAATTGTATCTACTCTGAGAATCACTTGTGATTCTATACCAGAAAAAACTCAGGAAGGCGATATGGACTGGTCTCAGGAGAGTCAAGGTGGGCTGTCATAAGAAAGATGGTTTCTAAGGTAAAACCTAAAAACTTGGTGGGTATCAGGCAAACAAAGGATGAAAGGAGGGAAAGAGAGAGAACACAGGATACTAAAAACTGGATAAAGTACACAATGGCTCAGCATAACAGTAAAGTGAAAACATAAAAGATAGTAGAGAAAAATAAACCAAGGCTGAATAACAAAGACCTTGTTATCCAAATCACGAAGTTTGGATTTTACGCTACGGTTAATGAGATGTTTCAACTACAGACATGACCTAATCACATCTGTGTTTTTGAGAAACACCATGGTTGCTTGCAGTGTAGAGAAGAGACAATAAAAGGACAGTATTGGTCCAATTTCTGGCCCAGAATGTTAAGAGCTTGGAAGTCTTCACTCTGTCCTAAGAGCAAGTAAAAAGCTGAACAAACTGAAAAACCAACTCTTCTTAGATCCATCATATTAGTAAGGTCACAGGGCAAATCATTGCCCCCAAAATTGGAGAGACAGACAACCCAGGTACAGAAAATCACAACTTTCTGGAGCAGAAACCCACAAAGAGAAACCTCCATGAGAGCCAGTGCCAGGGTAGGAAAACCGGAAATGTAATTAACAAACTGCTGGGGGTTCAGTGTTTGACAAGTCTGAGAGTCGTACAGCAGGGTCCCTCACACATTTGTGAGTTTTATCTTCAGGAACTACACCAGCTTCTCACAGTGAAGATCTGAGAAAAATCCCCCTGTGCTTCAGGCAGGGGGAAGGAAAAATACCCATTGTGAAATACACTAGAGCACTCTCTTCTTAAAAAGGACTGCTCCTCAAGAGAAAATGTTTTCCCAGAGTTTATGTTATTGAGGTTTTATTAGAGACCAAATGACCCAGAAGAAGAGAAATACCCAACTTTAGCCCTCTCTAGCCTTTCCTATGGGAGAATGAAAATAAAAAACTCCAGCTCCGTCTAGCCATCCTGTCCCACCTAAGGCGAGAAAATTGTGAAGTTCACAGTCCAAGACAAACTAAAAGACTGAGACCTAATCATAGGACCATGGAACACTCCTTCAAATACTCTTCCCAACACCTTACCATTATATCACTAAAGCCCCATTTACTGCAGTTCATTTTATCCTGTATATCATGTCTGGCTATCAAAGAAAGATTACAAGGCCTACTAAGAGGGAAATACCACAGTTTGAAGAAACTGAGTACACATCAAAACCAAAGTCAAATGTGGCAGAAGCACTAGAAGTATCAGACCAGCAATTTTTTTTAAAACTATGATTAACATGTTAAGGATTCTAATGGACAAAGTAGACAACAAGTAAGAAACGATGAGTAATGTAAGCAGAGAGATGGAAATTCTAAGCGAGAATCAAAAAGAAATGCTATCAAAAAGAAATGCTAGAGATTAAAAGCTCTGTAACAGAAATACAGATTACATCTGATGGGCTCATTAGTCAATTGGAAACAGCTGAGGAAAGAATCGCTGCACTTAAGGATATGTATATACAAACTTCCAAAACTGAAATGCAAGGATAAAGAAAGCTTTATAAAAACAAAATACTGGACTAGATTTAAAAAACAATAATAAAACCACATACAGAACAGAACTAATATTTGAAGAAATATTCACTGAGAATTTCCCCAGATTAATGTCAGATACACATCCAGGAAGCCCAGGGAACACTGAGCAGAATAAATGTAAAAACAAACAAACAAACAAACAAAGCTACACATAGGCAGAAAATCAAAGATTTTTCAAAAACCTTTAAGAAGTCACATGTCGACGGGTGGGGACCACCTTACTTACAGAAGAGCAAGAATTACATTAACTTCTCCTCAGAAACCATGTGAGCAAAAAGAAAGTGAAATGAAATATTTAAATTATTGAGAGAAAAAACCCACCAATGTATAATTTTATATCCTGCAAAAACATCCTTCAAAAGTGAAGGAGAAAAATTTTCTCAAATAAAAGTAAGGAATTTGTTGCCAGTAGACGTGCCTTGCAAGAAATGTTTCAAGTTCTTCAGAAAGAAGAAAACTAATATAGGTCAGAAATTTTGATCTATATAAAGAAAGAGAGAGAAGAAATGAAGAAGATAAAAACTTTAATTTTTCCTACTTTTAACTGATCTAACAAAAGTTTGTTCAAAATAAGAACAACAATGTATTTGATACCTATAGTTTGTGGACAAGTGAAATGAATGACAAAAATGATACAAGGGACATGGGAAGGATAACTTAGGAATATTTTGTTATTATAAGGTACTTGCACTACCTGTGAAGTGAACAGGGCTATTTGAAAGTAGAAATATATTGCAAAACTTAGGGTTAACAACTGAAAAACAAACAAAAAAACCCAAAAAACTTTACAGTCTAAGAAAAGAGATAAAAATAACATAAAATGCTCAATTAAAGCCATGAAAGAGAAGAAGAAGAAATGGGAATGAAGAACAAGGGCAACTAATAGAAAACAGTAACAAATATGATAGATATTAATCCAACTATATCAATAATCACTTTACACATCAATGGCCTAAATGCACCAATTAAAGAACAGAGATTGAATGAATTAAAAAAAGAGACTTAACTATATATTATTTACAAGAAACCCACTTTACCATAAAAAACAAATATAGTTTAAAAATAAAAGAATGAAGAGAGACGTACAGTGCTAACACTAAACCAAAGAAAGCTGGAGTGGCTATATTGATTCCAGACACA